ATTATTTTTGCTTTTAGTAATGCCTTTGCCTTCAAGCAATTGTCTAAGGCCTGAATTGATTCTAGACGTCATACGAAATGAATAAATTGCAAAATTCGTCAGGTGAATATTTTTATGGTACATCATTTGCATACTCATAGGTGAATGTGGTGAACGTGCCATAGAAGTTATGCTTATGCACGCGGCTTTTATATAGGATCTGAACCATCACATACAAACGGAAGTAAAACAGTGATGATAAAGTTTTACTTAAGAGTCGACCGTTTCGTTGCCATTGCCGATTCTGTTGAAACCGAATCGTTATAATGACTTGATAATTAACAACAATTTATTTGACATGCAAAGAATAAGGCACTGCTGGCTGATGGAATATATACGACGATCCATACTATAAATTCATGAAAAGAAGGGAGCTAAAATGGCTTATTTATGAAATTTAAGGAAGACCTACGTTCTAACAGTGACAGACTAGATATATAGATATAACATAAATTATGTTATTGATATACTAGCAACTGAAAAGTGCAGAAAATACGGTTTATTTATACATGACGCAAAAAAGTTTGATGAGTCAGATGCTTCAACATTGCCGACTTTTCGGCACATGCCTCACGGATTTTCTTCGAGTCATGTAAGTGGTTTCGGTTCTTAAGTTCTTCATGCGATTCACAACTATTCTTTCTTGCGTTTGAATCTGTAAAGAAGGCGAATATTTAGCCCGTAGTGGGTGTGAAGTAGTTTTTTGGCGACAGCGACAGCAGATCTGATCCAATCCTCGCAGAGTTTGTATTCTTTCGTCACTGTTGACGTTGCCGTAAGACTGGATGATTAATGCCTCCATGACGCGTATGTTCAACCAATGTCTCTTTTTGATGATGTCCGCACTTTAACCATTGCAGTGGAAAAGGATTCTTGCTGTGCGACGCGCTACACAATCCCAGAGGTCTTCTTGAGTTGCTCATTAATTTGGCTGGGAGCTAGGCTTTGTTTTCCTCCTGAATTCGTCTTCACACCTTAGAGTTCACGCTCTTCTACCAGCATCCACATTCTTCATTTTGGCAAGTGGATCTTTGTTCTCTCGGCGGCGATGTTCCCTCTTTCTTCTATGTAATATTTTCAGTAGTTACGTGATAATTTATGTAACCTGTCTAGGGAGTTGTTAGTTTCGGAATTACTTAATGTAACGTTGGAACATTACGTTTATTATAGCTTTTATATATGATGTTAATATTGTATTTAGTGTTAAGTAACCCTTGTAACTTTTCACTAAAGTTTTTATGACGAGGAACAGTAAGTGTGTTTTACTATTTAAAGCTTTATATTTGAGATTGTTACTGCTGCAGATCAATTTTTGCAAGGTATGCTAGGGTTTATAATATACTAATGAATTTAACTGGATATTTGGTGCTGTCAAGTATAGTTGGTTTATTTCTTCTTTAAAAAATTCATTACTGCGGAGATTCAAAACCCTGTTTCTTACAGCTATAATTATAGATGATTTATTATTTAAATGATGGCGTGAGTTGAAGTTTCTGTGTCAGCTTTGGGAGGTTTATGATAAATCTTTAGTCTCATTGTAAGAAACCAGAGTTAATAATTAGATACGAAGAAAAGACTTATTGGAATTATTTTCTCTTAAAATGGTTAGCTCCCTATTTTGATGGAAGAGACCACTGAGAAGGTTTATTAAATTATTTTCATCACCACTGGAACAGGTGGCAAAAATATCGTCTGCAGTCTTTTGAAAACCCTCGGAAACAGATATCTGTTCGTGTCTCGGTCCACATGCTCGACGTGTTCCTTGAAAACTGGATGTAATCGGGAAAATTCGGTTATTTGTTGGTAACCCCTTTGGTTTGCTTGAAGAATCCTCGATCGAAGGTGAGGGGATTCATTTCTACCATGTAGTGGGTTATTAACCTTATGGTCGAATTACATGACAGATTGGTACATTCTTTACTTTAATCATCTATTGGATGTATGTTGATGAATTTAGTTGTAGCTTCAACGAAAATGCGAGTGTACGTCTTTAATTAGCATAGTGTTAATTCTCGATATCATCGGTAAGAATATCATTATGCTGTTACCCATCCGCATACGGCGTGGTCGTACAATTGCCTTGCTCCTAGCCATTTAAGAGACAGTTTAACCGGTTCATTGTACAGTGATAATACCAGCTACATCGAAAACCTGCTGTTGCATTTACAACCATTTTTTAGGTGCTAGAAAGCTGCTTTCGTCAGTGCGGTCAGCGCTTTCACAATGAAGTCGCTAAATATCGTTTTCTCAACGAACTCATCAAAGTTGTGTCGCCAAAGGTATGTGATTAGTTTCCTTTATGATAGATTGTATGAATGAACTACAGTATAATTATATGCGTAGTCAATTAGCTGGATCATAATCACTCGCCCTTTTTTCATACCAGTGGTGATAAATGAGTACCATTCTGTAGGATGGAAACAGAGGACTACGTTACTTTTACCACGTTGCTGTAGACTCTACCTAAGAGGGTATAAGGTAATCGTGGCTGATACAATAGAAATGTAGATCAGCACCGCTTCATCAACTTCATGAAAAGAGGTGTGCCAACATGACCTGATCATGAAAGTGAAGGAAGACCGTCGCTCCAACGTTGACCAACTTTTAATTAGCTAAATTAATCGAACTTTACGTACTTAGCCTATGTGATCATTTTACTTATTGTTTTATTTCGTCTCACATTTAAACGCGGGAACATTAAGGTGGAGAGACAAGAGGACATTACTCATCCTTTCGTTTTCAAAGTCGTATGACTTCGGGGTCGCGAAGGAAGGAAGCAGGTTTACAAATCTGTTGCTCTACTTCGATCCTTTATTTATCGAAGAAATGATGTATTTGTCGGATGATGACGTGCAGCGAGAGTAGGTAGTCAGTATAATGGAGCAATCTGTAATTTGACCCTACTTGTCGTTTTTCTTCTACAATCATGATCACTAATTCAGACCATTGCACGTGCGATCTCATGATTTAGGCATGAAATTGCTTGGAAGTGAAAATACTTTGAGCTAAATATATTTGTCCTGTTGGCAATAATTGCATGCGCGGTTTTTTGATGAATCTTCATTTCTTTCGTTCATAGCTGGGATCAAATTTTTTTGTGAGTTTCCACAATTTGCGGTTATAGATTAAAGTAAGTGCGTTTGCGGGATTGCAGTAATTGCTACTCAGCTCTTTTCCATGGGCTAATTTAACTGCAGCAATACTGCGCTAACCTGTACAACTGGTGTGTCTGTATTCTGTCCGCCGGAACTCTTCATTTCTACCTCGGAATATTGAAGCTTCTTTACCTACTTCAGTTACATTCAACTTGTCTGTAAAACGCACTGATCTCGAGACTCTCAAGAAAAAGATGTTAAAAAGTAACATTATAACTACGATTTCAGAGAATATACTATTAAGCTGCAGCAAACCACTTCTTTCCTGTTTTCCTATATGCCGGATGTTAATAGAGACAGAGAAACGGGAATTCCTCAGCGTCTATGAACATTAGCAGCTTAAATGACTGACTTCATCAGAATAAGGCTAGATCACAACAATCCAACTTTCCCTCAAATTCAAGAGGGAACTATCTTTAAACTGATCCGTTGTGACCTGAGAACATTAGTGATACAGTTTCAAATGGGAATGGAATAGTCATCGGAGTAAGTTCTTTCTCACAGCTGTTATTGAATTTTGGAAGGTTCTGAGGACCTTATGACAGCGTGGTGTCTGCCTTTATATGTGTCTGTATGGGCTAAAGTATGCTTGCTCTTTGTAGACATTTGTACTTCATGGTCATCTACAAATTGCAGCATTATATGCGTAACTCATTTATAATCTCATTTGTATTGTATCGCGTTTTGTTATTCAACAGAACAGGGTTTTAAATTCATACCTGCTTGTGTCGCACTTAGGTATGATTTTCCATGAGAACTATTCTCCTGAAGCGTTCTAACAACTAAGACGTTATGTTTAAACTACTTATATAAACGCAGTTTTAGCTAATTTTTTTCTAACAGTTCAGAAACCGTGACAGGTGTTATACCTTTGTGATCATTTATATTTCGATTATCACTGATTGAATAGCGGTATTCCGTTTTTCTTTTGCTCTTCTTAAATCTGATGTTTGTTTTAGTACCGTGGCAATCAGACGTCTACCAGGGTGAAATTACGCATAATGGAAATCCTGTACACTCTGCAGATTTCGCTGAAACATCTGCCGAAACTGAAGCAGGTCTACGATATGCTTAAGGACCAGGGCGTAATCGCTCAGGACCCGACGTACTTGGAAAATGTACTTTGCGATGACTCTGTAAAATATGACCTGTTGGATTTATGGTATTTTTGTTTCAGCTCTGCGACACCCGGTGCCTGGAAAGGGAGAGCGCTCCCCGACGTTCACCATTCGAAAGTGACGAAAAAAGCGAGGTATGCGTTTGCAGTGATAAGATGTTTTGCATACGGTTACCAAATGCATACTTATAGCTTTTGTCAAAACTACTGAAAAGCAGAAATCCGCATGACCTACAGGCCGCGAATAGGCTTATAAAATCGATGGTGAAAGCGGTATGCATTATATGTCTTTTTCTTTCTATACCTGTGATTTTTGATTGTTCCCGAAGTAATGGCACTGCGAGTGATCTTGCATATCTCAGTGACCTAGCAGGTCTTGATAGCTATAGCATAATAATCTTTCTTTAATAAATCTGTGATAATCTCGAGAAACGCTGTTCGACGTATTCCGTATTTCGTATGCTAATGGATTAAGTGAATACAGTAGTTCAACTGAGGCAGGTGAATAAATTTAGGCACATTAGGATATCACTTTCAAGCGTCGCAGGCAAATAGTAGACGAGGACACGCGAATGCAGTAACGCGGTACTCTTTGATAAAATGGAAAATCCCAGGCGTTGTGAAAGCCCGTCAGTCGTCAGGTCTATCTACTCGCCTAGCATCGCCTTTTGTCACGCCCGCTGGTGATTAAATGTAACAATGCAATCCTGAATGCTAGTGGTAGAAACGGAATTGATTTTAAGGATTGTTGCTCTAGCAAGGTTCGACAATAGCCTGAATGTGGGACTATGAAATATCATCGTTTGCTAGTAACCCTTATCCAAACGATGGTATGGTAATGTTCTTCTTAGACATTCATCACACGCGGCTAACTATTTAATCGAACATTCACATGGCTCAGTGAAATTCTACAGTTCAGCTTTTGTGCCTTCAGCTCAAACCCATAGAACTTGTTTGATTTGCAGCTAACTCAAGTCATGAAGGTTACAACGTCAGAAGGCTGCTGTTCCGGCAAACGGAAAGGAACTATCGGCTGTGAAAATAAATGAATGGGTACTAAATTCTTCAGTTACTCAGCGAAGCAAATTAGACTTTTTTCTCACTGTTCATTCTCGTGCAGTGATGGCTATTGAAGCAGACTTAGTCGACGAAGAAGCTGTTTCTGCATTACAGTTAATTATTTAAGGAATAATGCAGTAAGATAATTTTGCATATTTACCGAACGCATGTAAAAGGAGAACACGTATGTCATTGAAATGTTTCACTTGCTAACACGTACCAATAAGTTCTTTTCGTTGGACTCCATGTATATCGTTATGAAAGGTATTGTTGGCAACTCCAACTTAGCCTAGAGCTGCTTCGAACTGAGCTC